AATTTCGTTTAAAAATATTAATTATTAATAATTCTGCAGTTAAATTAAATAATTCCCTATTTTTGCCAATTTAACGATGAGTTATAACGTAACCCTTGAAAAAAACAATCCACAACAATGGGTTTTATTAGCTGTCAATTCTTGCAGCGTAGAATTGAATATTAATTTAATAGCACGCAGAAAAGTGTTGTATCAAGAAATATTATTTGCATTATGGAACAATTAAATATTAGGGATAAAATTGAAATGATTCGTTTAGTGGGTGATAACTATCTTCAAGCAGGAGAAGCTGCCAGAGAATTTAACAACAGACATCCCGACAGACCTGCAGTAAGTAGAAGCACGGTTCAACGAATAAATAGAGTTTTTAATGAAACTGGTTGTGTGTCAAAATACTTACTAAAAAACAGAAGGCCGGAACATTGAATAAATAGGCGGAATGAGGAAATATTAGAATATTTTCGTAACAATCCTCGTGCAAGCATTAGAGGCGCCAGTGTTGATTTGGATATACCAAGGGAAAATATTAGGAGATGTTTGCGAACTAATAAAGTTAAACCCTTTAAACCAAAGATTTTACACACTTTGGAAAACGGAGATGATGTTAGACGATTGAATTCTGCTTATGGGCTCAAGCAGAGTATTTAAATAATAGAAATTTCTTAAAAGAAATTTTATTTAGTGATGAGGCAACATTTAGTACAAACGGAGTAGTATCCTCTCAAAATTCGCGATTCTGGGCAGTCGAAAACCCTGAATGGGTGATCAATACAAGAAGACAGTATTCTCAGAAATTAAATGTGTGGTGTGGCATACTTGATGATAGAATCATTGGTCCATATTTTTTTGAGAGAAATTTGAATAGTCCAACGTTTTTGAATTTTCTGATTAATGACTTTTGGGATGCAATACATAATTTACCATGCCAAACCCGTTTGAATTTAAAATTTCAATTGGACGGATCACCTGTGCATAACGCGGCAGTTGTCAGGGAATGGTTAAATGAAAATTTTGAAAATAAGTGGATAGGTCGAAATAGCCCGCTAATTGGTGGCCACCGAGATCCCCGGACCTAACACCCCTTGATTTCTTTCTTTGGGGTTTCTTAAAGCAACAAGTTTACAAGTCTAGACCTCAATCTGTAGATGAATTACGTATTAGAATTACAGAGGCTTCTGCAAATATTACACCACAGCAGCTTAGGAATGTAACTGTTAATCTAAGAAAAAGATGCGACAAATGTATTGAACTGAATGGAGGGCTGGTAGAAGCAACTAGAATTATTTGAATATGTTTAACTTATTATTCGGTTATTGTGTTGCTTGTAGTATTTTTTATCATTGTTTGTAATAAAACTCGTTGTCGTGGATTGTTTTTTCAAGGGTTACTTGATAACTCATCGTTAAATTGGCAAAAATAGGGAATTATTTAATTTAACTGCAAAATTATTAATAATTAATAATTTTAAACGAAATTTGGTACAGAACTGTTTTGGGGGATGCCGAATGTAGGGGTGTACTAAAATTTTTTGAAAAAAAATCGCTAATATGATTTTGCAAATTTTTCACCACAAAAACTTTATTAAGTAGGCCTTGTTTTTTGTGAAATAACATGACATTCAGCCCTAAAGTACATTTTTTGAAACTTCATATTTGAAAAAAAAATCATCAAAATCGGACTATAAACACAGATTTTATGGAGGGTGCCCGGTCTTAGTGGGTCACACTGTATATATATATATATATATATATATATATATATATATATATATATATATATATATATATATATATATATATATATATATATGTATATAATGATATACATTTTATTAAGAAAACAAATGTTGAATTTATTAAAAACTTAATTTATTTATTAATTGTTCAAATTTGATAAGAATATTTAATTTTATAATAATAATTAAAATAATACATTTATATTTAAGTTGTAAACATTTAATTATATGATTACAATAAAAGAAATATTTTTTAAATAAATAAAAAAAATAACTATTGTCTTATTAAACAATAGTTATTATTAAAAAACTGTATAATATAGTTATTAAAATGATAAATATAAATAGAGTAGTATTTTATAATTTAATTTTTTTTGTTGAATGTACTAAATTGATATATAGATTTATGTAAGATAATATTTTAATTAATATATGTTTTTAATTATTTAGCTATGTAATGAATAAATATTTTTTATTTATTTAAGTATCTTATTATTTAAAATTTTTGTAATACTTTTATGAGATATTTATAAAAAAATTATTACAGCATAAATATTTATATATAAAATTAAAAAATTATATATATTAAATAATATAACAAAGAATAAAGATTTAATGTTTTTATGCAAAAATGTATGCATTATATATTGTATAATTGCAAAAAAATTGTCACTTATAATATCACAAGAGCTTAAATTATTTTCGGAAATTTTTTTGAGGGCACGAATATTTTGAAAATTATCCCGAGTCGAAGACGAGGGATAATTTTCCTAAAATATTCGTGCCCGAAAGAAAATTTCCAGGAATAATTTAAGCTTGCGTGGTATTCGGTAAGAAAATTTCACACCTAAATTTGAAAAAAAATATTAATCCAACATGACATTTTAAAATAATTTCAATTTGTTAAGTTGGCCAAGGTATTGCTAAAACTCAAATGGATAATATTTCAATATATAGACATTGTAGTTCATTCACATTATGATTGTAGATCTTATGTTTACCTTTTCAACTGTCAAAAAATTATTACAGCATAAATATTTATATTTAAAATTTAAAAAAATTCTATATTAAATAATATAATAAAGAATAAATATTTAATATTTTTATGCAAAAATGAATGCATTATATATTGTATAATTGCAAAAAAATTGTCAAATTAATTTATATAGACCCTTCACCATAATTTCGAAAATATTTAAAAAATTTTTTATTGGATTATATCATATTTATTGTTATAATATCTTTTTTTTGTAGTATATATATATGTTATGGTTTACGTAAAAATATAGTAATTAATGTATACATAATATTAAATTAAAAAAAAGAAGAAAAAACAATTAGCATAGTTCTTAACAAACTTGTAACTGTATGCACTATTTATATTAATGTAAACTGCTATATTAGTGTTTACTAGTATAATTGCCTTCTAAGTTGCAATATTTCTAGAGATTGATTTCATTATTACTGATTTTTTTACCATATTGATGATATTGGAAGGCAGTCACAGCTCGTAATAAAGTCCAGTGTAATAATTTATACTGGTATACACTGATATAAACGGTTATAAGTTTGTTGAGGGCTATGCCGATTAATATACACTAGTGTAATTGCTTTTCAAGTTGTTTTTTGGGATTAACTTCATTGTTGCTGATTTTTTATTATACTGATGATACTGGAAGGCAGTTACAGCCAGTTGTATATGTATATAGCGAATTGTAATATGCATTAAATTGATGTAATTATGTTAGTAATTATGTCTATATTGTAATATTAAAGTAGGCTGTATTATTTTTTGTTACGAACAGTAGGTTTCGAAATGATTTGTACAAAATATAATAGTATACAAATGATCCTACCTTATCTCTATGTAGACAGCGGGATTCCAAGAATCGAAATTAAGGAAATATTATTGAAAATTTAACACAAAACACTGAGAAACTTCTGGATGAAGATACTAACACTAATTTTCCCTCGCAAACCAAGACAAAGAGACGCTATCAAACTATCAACGACAGATAATGGCAGATTTAAATTTATATTACAGATGGCGCTGATTAATTAGAGTTGAAAACTTATTAGGGATGAGTATTTTTTTGTTTTTATTATTTGATATTATAATTAAAAATAGGTAATTTAATATAATTATCTACTCATTTATGTTAAATTATGTAATATGGTTATTAAATGTTTATATAAAAAAATTAAATGTATTTTTGAAAGTATAATAAAGATATATTAATAACGATATTTTAATATTCATGGGGATGATTTTTTTTGTTTATAATAAAAGTTATTGTATTTATTAAAATTAATTTATTTAAACAAAAAAAAACTATGGAAAAGTATATATTTAAAAAAAAATGTACAATATAGATGAATTTTCAATTTACATTACATATAAATATTATAATAATATAAAAGATTAAAAATGTATACATAAAATTAATATTACCATTTTTAACATAAAGCAAATATAAAATTATTTATATTAATAAAATTATAAGTAAATTAATAAAAATAAATATTAATGTTTGTTGATTAATTTTTGTAGGTTAATCAAGATAAAATTAAAAAGTTTTTTAATGCTTTTATTAAAAAAAGGAAATTAAAATTAAGATATATTATAAAACATATTAATATGTAGGATGGAAAAAAGTACTAATATATGTATAACTATATTAACATTATAAAAAAAATTGTAAAACTAAAATATTTTATGAATCATATTCATGATACAAAAATCTTATGAGTTAGTTTAATAATTATCAATACTAATACAGATTCAATAAAATGAAATTTTTAGCACTGTTCACTACTGCATTGATGAATTAAAGAATTGCTAATGTGTTATCGTAGACACCATTACGAATAATAAATTTAATCAGTTGATTTATTTAATCGATGAGTAGTGATGAAGGTATTTGTATCTCAATTCATGAAAAATAAATGATAAATGATGATTGAATAAGTGCTTTATTTATTAGTAGTATATAAATTATTTACATATTAATGATTATTGCATCAGTTTAAAAATAGGTGTCAATATGAATTATTTTTTCTTTATAGCAATATTAATGTAGTTTTTTTCTATATCCTATTATGTTTAATACTAATTTTCCTCTCTCTCTTTTTCTCTGTAGTATTACAACTTGGGATGGATTCTTAATGATTTTACAATCTACCTCTATTTGTTGTGGTTTAACATTGGTTATTTTGTTTACTCAACATTTAGGATCTATATGTCTGTGATAACATTATTTTTTCACCGCATTCTTGGTCTTCTTAATGGTCATTTTTTCTCTCGGAATATCTTCTTATATTAACATGACAATAGGTTTAAGTCATAAAAATTTGTTTTATTCATAATAATGGCAAGATATCAGTTAGATTACTAGCTGGTACATCAGTTGTGTGTTTTCTTTGTTACAATATGAACATATAAGTATATTTTCAGACATGTCTTTTAGATTTTCCAAATAAATTATTTCTAAAAATAAAATTTACATTATAAAATATATGAAAAAATAAATTTTTGATTTCAGACTTACCGAAATATTTAATATATTTTTCCCCATTAATAATTACTGTATATAATTTATAATTAGTATATAATCAATTAAAAATATATTAATGATTATTAAATTTTCAAATAATGGTTCTGATAATAATTTTTTTGTTTACTATTATCCATAAATTAAATATAAATGACATAAATGACATGATATATAAAAGTAATCTGTGGTTATATAACCCAAATATTAAGGATGGGTATTTATATCGATTTTTAAATTTTTTACTTTTAGTATAAAATATTCCTATGATTATTATTAATAAGAATATAATAAAAAATAAAAGGTAAAGGTGTGGATCCGGTGGCTGACCTTGAAGCCCATATTTGCTGCTTTTGATCATCGAAACTACGCAAGCGCACATCGTCGATGTTGCCAAATTGCAGTTTATTTTCGAATTATTTGCAGTTGAAAATTTTTTTTGCTTGTTAATCAATAATAATACAAATTCTATAATTAATTTTATAATTTCAGATTTATCTTGATATCCAAAATTAAGGTAAGAAGGATAATGAAGATTGTGAAATGAAAGTATTATGAATATATAAAATTGTAATAATAATAACATTTATTTATATATTTACATTAGAATTAAAATTTATCATTTACGGATTTTTTCTTAATGGTTTTAAACTTATTAGAATTATTTTATTTCTTTCAAGTTATTTAATTTCTAGTTATTTACAAGCAACAATAGTTTTGATTATATGTATTGATGTTTTGAGGTACTACCATGACGGGTCTTATTGTCTTATTATAGAACATACACGCGCGTCAATCGGAAATAGAGGTAACATTTTACCTATAATGTTACTAATATAATATACTTTGATTATAATTAATGTTTGTATCATAATTTCTTAAAAATATCAAGTTAGTGGATTAATAGCAATTTTAGACATATATTTTATCGAAGAGTGTGTTGATAAGACTAAAATAAGCTTTATGTTTTATCTTTTTTTTTAGAAGGGAGATGGTTTGTATCGTAGAATACATTACAGTATTTAATATCGTGTACTTTGATATTCTTTTCTTAATTTACTGTAATTTCTTGTTTCCTATAATGCCAAATCTTGACAATATGGTGAAGGTTGATTTTTGATCTTATTAGTTTTATAAGAATAATAATAATAATAGAAATACAAGACTAAATTAAGACTTAGTTTGTGATTTATATTAAGATCTTTCTTATAATATTTGTTATGTCTTAATCTTAATACTATATTATGCTTGGTCTGGAAAATAAATGTTAAAATATCTTAATTTTGCATATCCTATTCCATCCTTCCATTAGGAAAAATATGGTTTATAAATCATATATGCTAAGAAAATCACATAAATTAGGTGTAAGAATAGAGAAATCTTAATGTAGCAGAAAAATTAATGCAATATATGTATAAGCAGAATTAAACAAGGTAACTGTTAATGTCGCTGAAGCTGATTCTACAATTTTAATTACGGAGACTAAAAGGCCTTTTAAGGCCTCCGTAGTTTTGATGGAATGTTAAAAAAAAATCTATTATGAACATGACATGAGCTACAGCATTTAAAAATTAAAAAAAAAGAAAAAACTTGGACACATCCCTTTTAATTTCCCGAATTTTTAATAAAGCACTTTTTAAACGTAGCATAATAATCTAGATAGGAATCTAGAGTTTTATTTCTATATAATCTTATTGACTATGAAAATACATAATAAGCGTTCACGTGTTGTGCGAAATATTAAAATAATATACCGCGTACTATGATTGAAAAAAAAATAGCGTCAGCAATGACTATGAAATGAAGATCGCTGTCATTTTATGGAAATGTCCTCAATCGTCATTTCCCAGCCAACTGGACGCCGTTTTTTCGATCATACGGTATATATTGACAAAAAAACACTGAAAAGCACATATTTGTTTTCTACTGAAAATAATTCCAAAATAACTCGCAATCTGGCAACATTGAAGATGTGCGCATGCGTAGTGTCTGTGACTATATGCAGCAAAAACTCGTTTCAAGGTCAGCCACCGGATCCACACCATTACCAAATAAAATTAATAATTAATAGCTATTTAACAAAATTTCGGGTAAAGGTGTGGATCCGGTGGCTGACCTTGAAGCCCATATTTGCTGCATTTGATCATCGATACTACGCAAGCGCACATCGTCGAGTTTGCCAAATTGCAGTTTATTTTCGAATTATTTGCAGTTGAAATTTTTTTTTGAGTGTTAATCAATAATAATACAAATTCTATAATTAATTTTATAATTTCAGATTTATCTTGATATCCAAAATTAAGGAATGATATATAAAGCTGAATATAAAAAATTGTAATAATAATAAAACATTTATTTATATATTTACATTAGAATTCAAAATTATCATTTACTGATTTTTTCTTAATGGTTTTAAACTTATTAGAATTATTTTATTTCTTTCAAGTTATTTAATTTCTAGTTATTTACAGGCAACAATAGTTTTGATTATATGTATTGATATATTGAAGTTCTACCATGACGAGTCTATAGAACAATACACATCAATGGGAGATAGAGGTAACATCTTACTTATAATGTTACTAATATAATATACTTTGATTATAATGTTTGTATCATAATTTCTTAAAAATATCAAGTTAGTAGATTAATAGCAATTTTAGACATATATTTTATCGAAGAGTGTGTTGATAAGACTAAAATAAGCTTTATGTTTTATCTTTTTCTCTTTAGAAGGGAGACGGTTTGTGTCGTAGAATACATTACAGTATTTAATATTACCTACTGTAATTTCTTGCTTCCTATAATGCCAAATCTTGACAATATTGTGAAGGTTGAGTTTTGATCTTATTAGTTTTATACCTGTGTTTATACAAGACCAAATTAAGATTAGTTTGTAATTAGTTTGTGATTTATATTAAGATCTTCCTTATAATATTTGTTATGTCTTAATCTTAATACTATATTATGCTCTGTCTGGAAAATAAATGTTAAAATATCTTAATTCTGCATATCCTATTCCATCCTTCCATTAGGAAAAATATGGTTTATAAATCATATTATGCTAAGAAAATCACATAAATTTGGTGTAAGAATAGAGAAATCTTAAGGTAGCAGAAAAATTAATGCAATATATGTATAAGCAGAATTAAACAAGGTAACTGTTAATGTTGCTGAAGCTGATTCTACAATTTTAATTACGGAGGCTAAAAGGCCTTTTAAGGCCTCCGTAGTTTTAATGGAATGTTAAAAAAAACCTATTATGAACATGACATGGAGCTACAGCATTTAAAAATTAAAAAAAAAGAAAAAACTTGGACACATATCCTGAATTTTTAATAAAGCACTTTTTAAACGTAGCATAATAATTCTAGAGCAATTAGATTAATTATAGGAATCTAGAATTTTATTTCTATTTAATTTTATTGACTATGAAAATACATAATAAACGTTCATGTTTCACGTGTTGTGCGAAATATTAAAATAATAATATAAATGATATACCGCGTACTATGAAGATCGCTGCCATTTTATATGGGAAATGTCCTCAATCGTCATTTCCCAGCCAACTGGACGCCGTTTTTTCGATCATACGGTATATATTGACAAAAAAACACTGAAAAGCACATATTTGTTTTCTACTGAAAATAATTCCAAAATAACTTGCAATCTGGCAACATCGAAGATGTGCGCATGCGTAGTGTCTGTGACTATATGCAGCAAAAACTCGTTTCAAGGTCAGCCACCGGATCCACACCATTACCAAATTTCGTTATTATATATATATAAAACTATTAAATTTGCAAAATTTAATATTTTTCTCCAGAAAGACACAAATATCTTTTGAACAAAGTAATATAATAAAAAATTAAGAAAAATTAGATTATCCCATTATATTCTTGCTTTGTTTGGATTTTGCGACACTGACCTTCTGCTACATGACGTCACACTAATGGAGCGTATTAAATATAAATGACATGACAATATCACGGCATATAAATCACACGGCAGGCTAACTCTACCCAGATCCCATTGTTTAAAATTTCTATAAAATTTGACCTTGAAAACACCATTATGGGTGCCGAGTCAGGGCCGGATTAAAACGTATCAAAAAATTTCCCAGAAAATAAACTTTTGCTAGACAGGGTCGTATTAAAAAAATACTGTAATTGACTGAAACTGAATTTTATTTACACAATACTTTTATCTAAACAAATGAATCGTTAACTTTAGAGAATAGACAATTAAAATTAAAAAACATGACAGGAGTCCAGGAGTTACAAACAAGAATTAAAGAAATACCCAATAAATTATCTATTGAACAATCTAAAGAGGCTACGGACAAATTATGTCCATCAATGGACATAGCAAATTTTGTTAATATTCAAATTGCACAAATTAACAAATCAGCTAAAGGAAGAAAAGTAACTGATGAATTTAAATGTAAATGTTTGGCTATATTTTTAAAAGCCAAGCCGTCAAAAAAAAATTGAGCCGTCAAATTTGACAGCTGTCGTCAAAAATTTCAAAAGTTTATCCGATTTTTGAGTAAAAATCGATATATAGAGATGGCCATGGGCTAAAAATGAAAGAAAAAATTGAGCTGTCAAATTTAACAGCTGTCAAAAAAAGGTCAATGTTGTCCGATTTTGATAAAAATCTATATATAGGATGGCCATGGGCTAAAAGGAAAGAAAAAAAATTGAGCTGTCAAATTTAACAGCTGTCAAAAAAAGTTCAATGTTGTCCGATTTTGATAAAAATCGATATATAGGATGGCCATGGGCTAAAATGAAAGAAAAAAAATTGAGCTGTCAAATTTAACAGCTGTCAAAAAAAGTTCAATGTTGTCCGATTTTGATAAAAATCTATATATAGGATGGCCATGGGTTAAAAGGAAAGAAAAAAAATTGAGCTGTCAAATTTGACAGCTGTCAAAAAAATCTCAAAGTTGTCCGATTTTTATAAAAATCGATATATTGGATGCTCACTACCCCATAGTCGGTTTTCATTTTATTTGTCTCACAATTGAACTGTCAAA